GGCTCTAGCCTGGGATCCTTCCCATTAAACATCTTTTTTTTTTTCAGTGACCTGGAAGAGGTGATGGATGCTTGCTCAAAAATTTTACAGATGTGACTAAATTAGCCAGATCATTCAGAGGGATCCAAACTGGCTGGGGAAGAGGATCAACAGGAGCCTAGTGATATCCAGCAGGGCTGAGTGCAAAGCCCTTGCCTGGGGAGGACAAACCCCATCAGTCACACTGGCTGTGGCTGCCCCCCTGGGGAGCAGCTCTGTTGAAAGGCCCCAGGGCTGGTGGGCAGTGAGGAGGGCATGAGCAGCAGTGCCTCTGCAGCAGGCATGGCCAGTGGCATCCCGGGCCATGCTGATGGGGACATGAGCAGTAGTAGCTCCTGGGAAGAGAGGAATCATCCTCCCTGCTCAGCACTTGTTAGGCCATATCTGGAAGGCTATGTCCAGTTCTGTTGCCTCCCAAGAGGCAAAAGAGATTGATAAACTACCACAAGTTCAGCAGAGGACCACCAAGATGGCCAGGGAGCAGTATTGATATTCATAGAATAGTTTGGATTGGAAGGGACCTTCAAAGGTCATCTAGTCCAACCCCCCTGCAATAAGCAGGGACATCTTCAACTAGATCCGGTTGCCCAGAACCACATCCAGCCTGGCCTTGAATGTGTCCACGCACTGTCAGCTCATGTTCTTGTATTCTAAAGATATAAAAATCTACCCATGTTGCTCAGCCCCTCTAGTTGAAGGGCCAGAAATACATTCATTATGTTTCAATTGATACTTTCAATTATAGTTGGTGTTTCTGAGCCATTTACATGTGAGAGCTAGCCTGTTGGCAAGTGGCATTTAGATAATGAAGCATTGCATCCCTTTTCAAGACAGCATAATTCTGTCCTAATATATTAATAGATGGGTTTAGCCTGTATTGTGGCTCTGTTTCTTCACCAATCCATTCTAACACCTTTTGAGTCTGTTGAATAATTTTAATCAAATTTGAAGGACAGCTAGATGTCTCAGAAATAAGTAAGTCGCTGGATGGAGAGACCAGATTAGTCCCTTTGTTGAGGGGAAGGTAGGCATAGCTCAGCAATTGCATGACTTTTCATTACCTCTTTTTTTTTTGGGAAGGGGGGACGATGGACAGTTTATGCAAGTAACAAGGTCCTGTTTACTCCACAGTCATAAGGACCATAACAGGACAACTGGGTTATTGGGGTGAGGAGAGGTCTCTGGAGCCAGGGGAGAGGGAGCAGCAGAGGACCTGGACCTGCAGGAAACCAAGCTCCTGTTGTTCTGCAGCTTGCTTTCTGAGGAGAGGCTTGTCAGTGGGTTGTTAAGTGCTTTGGAGGATGCTGTGATCCATTTCATGTGATCCATGGTGATTTCACTAATGTCACAAGGTAGTAAAGCTGATTCTAGTTCAGGGCTCATGCGTTGGTGTCCCGCTTTGAGTATCTGAATGCTGATGACTTGGAGAGTGAACTTCTCTCATATAAGGAGGACCCATCTGAAAATAAGAGGTCCATAGCAAGAGTCACTGTGGAAAAATAGCTACAGCTTCTGTCTTGAAGAAACTGAATAACCCTTAAACCTCTAAACAGCTTGCATGGTAAGATAGCTGTAACAAAGCCTGATACTGAAGCCTTTTCTCTTTAGTGGCTTTGCTCAGCTCTGCATGGCCAGCTGGGGTCAGCCTGTGTCCAGGTGAACATCTCATTTCTCCACTAAAGGTTCAGGACACAGTTTCGCTCACTTCTCTGTAAATAACAGCTTTCATCGCTTCCCTTACCCATTTTATCATGTGTTCATGGTAAGAGCAGGAGCACACATGCTGTTTCTGGCACGGAGGAGGAAATAACCAGTTGGGGGTGCAGCTTCTTTTGGGGACAGTGCTGCCTTAAAATGCTTGTGAAGTTACCGCCTCAGGCATCCTTGAGCTTTCTGTTCCACCATCTGAAGGGATGCCATCTACACTTTTTTTTTTAAGCTTCTGAAAAGCTTAGTCTGTTTTATGAGGAATGTGTTAGCTATCTTAGATATTTATGTAATTATACTAATGAAGTGGGTTTATTTATTGTTTTCTGAGGAAATGCTTGGTATTTTTGGATTCATGTTCTGCAAAGAGAGGAGATGAATTTCCTGTTGAAGATGATTTTTTCAAATGTCTTCAGAGCAAAAAAGTAAACTTGAAGAGTGATTACAGAATATTGGCTAATTAGCTATAGTGTAACTGCTTTAATTACTTTTATCCCTGAAGCCACATGACTGTGCAGATGACTAGCAGATGACTTATTTAAAAAAAAAAAAAAAAAAGAAAAAGAGACGTGTTCACACTGCAAGGTTAATGAGACTAATTAAATATAGTTTTCCTTAGCCAGATACTAAATCATAAAGCTTGGGGGACTGGGGGAGGGGGAGAATCCAAAGGCAGTCAGTGCTATTTCGAATAATGGTTTTATTCTGTTTTTTTTAATGCAAGGGGAAAAAAAAATAAAAAGCTGGAATTGAGTGATATTTTTGAATAAACACATTCAAAGATTTTATGAGACCTCACATGGCAAACTTTGAAAGTCTATTTAGAGACAATTACGCTGAGACATATTTGTTTTCACTTGCCCACTGCTTTAATTAATGGAGAAGTGGGCTTGAATAAGAGGTCTGTGTTAGGTAGAAGTCTCCATCTGCTCCTGTGTATTAACAGAACCTTTGTCCTTTCTCTACGTGGGTTTTATTATTTACACCATTATATTTCCTTTAGTAAACTGCATAATGTCTCACATTGAGTTCCGCAGACAGGATGGAGTTCTCTTTTTTTGTTAAATGATTTTATTTTTTTTTAAGTTTTCCTAAAAACTTTGTTTTCCGTGCAGAGTAGTTCGATATCCCACATTAAAAAAAAAAACAAACCAACAAATGAACAAACAACCCTTCCGAGATCCAAATTCTATGGTCTTTCAAGGAAACTTGAATCTCAGGCACAAAAATTAGATATTATACCTTACTGAGTTTCCATGTGTCGGTTACCTTCATCAGTAGCCTTGAGTTATGGGAAACAGAAGGTAAAACGTGTTGTATAGCGTATAGGGCTTAAACCAATGAATTTCATCATGTAGAGGTTTCACTAGTTTACATTTCAACTGTGTATGTGTGATCTGTATTTCTCGATATTCAAAAAGAAGGAAAGTAGCCACAGGTTTTGTAGCAATAGCTTTTCTCACCTTCTTTCTACATGTCAGTTGAGCTTCTTGCTTTTGGGGCAGAATGGATAAGCATGTGGCTATGAAAGCGGAGAGAAGTAATGAGAGTTTGTTGTTCGACTGGTTTGTGACTTTGCAAGCTCCTCCTTTTCTTTGTCACCATACAGTGGGGTGAAGCTGAAGCAATGCTAAAGAAATCCTTAAATTCATCAGGATTCCTTTGAAATTCATTCTTAGATTTACTTTTTCTGATTTTGCCCAACATTTTGACTTTGTAGGTACCGCTCATTTAACTACTGGTACGTTGTAATAGGGAAGGGGGGGTAAGGTGGCTTAGAGTGCTCAGAGCAAGGTCTCGTTTGGCTGTTTCATTCCTTTGTCCTGCATTTCCATTGAGTCATCTTTACCCTAAATTGGTTTCTCCAGAGCTTTTTGTAAGTCTAGTTAGGAAAACAAGCTTGTATTTACACAAACTTCAGCTAGTATATTAGTTCTGCACTTTTTTTGGCTATTAAAAATATAAAGTATGAAGAAAAAAAATAGGATAAGATTTCTGCACAAAATTAATGATTTTGGCTATCAGATTTTTCCCCCCCTTAATGTTTTAAACCTTTTTAGTCAACATGATTGAGGGAAATGCAAGTTTAATACAGTAGTGCAGAAGACTCATACAGATGAGATGTTCTTAATAAATTAAGTCACCCAGAATTATTATCTCTTACTATCTGAGCCCTTGTCCATATACTGATGTTAACTGATGATGATACTTGATGATTGATGGTGGTGATTTGCTCATGATTGGCAGTTAATGATTGTTGATGTTGTTCAGAGTATTTTAATGGATTGCTTATATGATTAGTATTTAGAAGAATTATGTTTTGGGACATGAGGGGTTTTAAAGATACTCTGATCTCTTTTTCATGTGTACTTCTGTGAGCAGTTTTTGTTCATTAACATTCAAAATAACACCTTTGGTTTATCATACTAAGCAGAACTTTAAAGATTTAGGAGCCTGGACCCTGAATTCTTCTTTACCCATCAGTTACCCTTTATGTCCCTTCTGTTTTTAGACAGTTTCATTATTTAGTAAACGTTGGGCATCAGCTTGTCTCTGGATCTGGTGGTTGTTTATAGATACCGAAGCTCATTGAAATTGTGAGCCAGGCTGCTGCAATGGGCACTTCAAGGAATTCACACATGTAGCATGTTGCACTGAGTCCTCTGGAGTGCTTGGCAAGGTGGGCACTTCTCAGGCAGGCATGCATCTCAGCAGCTTCTAGGCAGGTATGCTGCCCAGGAATTCAGTGCTTTTGGAAACTTGCAGTTTTTCCAGGTAGGCTCTAGTAGCAGATTCAGTAAAATTAGCTCTAGACAGTAAAACCCAAGTGCTTTGTTATGCAAGGGTCTGCCCAGAGGTTTTGGTGACCATGTGGGTTACAGTTCCTGTAAACAAGCATTCACCCACACAAAATTGCTGTTGCATCCTGGGTGCCACCAGACGAGCAAAGGACTGAATAAATGTTACCATATTCTGGAATCCAGAAGTAAATCATCAAGCAATGGCAGAAAGCTGTTTTGTAGATTTTGTTTGTTTGTTTGTTTGTTTGTTTTTTCAATATGCTACATGTATAAAAAAACTTCACAGTTCAAGACTGCAGCGTAGTCTCTCTCATCAGCAGTAAGTTAATTCAGTTGTAACGGCAAACAAAACATGCTGTGTGAAACATCCAGTTCACAGATAATACCCTAACAGAAGTTAATGCTATTATGGTGTCTTGAATGAGTGGTAAGTACTCAAGCCCTTTAAAGGACATGAAAGCACAACATGCTCTTCAGAGAGTCCAAACCAAGTTGCAACTTTCTACTGAAGTCCCACACCATATATTAAAAAGGATGCAGAAATAGATACAGCTTTTTTTTCTTTTCCCACTCCAGAACTTGGCTGGATCTCAAAAGTGCATGTGAATCGACCTGAAGTTGTGAGGCATGCAGAACAAATTAAAAAATGGAGAACTGTGAAAGGTAATTGGCAAGTAAGTGCTCTTTTTATGCATTCTGTTCCTGTATTTTTAAAGCAGTCACTCTGCCTCTCCAGGCTGCAATATTGAATTTTTTCCAAGATACATGTAAACTTAAAAGATGTGCTTGTCCATGTCTTATTTTAATAATTTGTATTTGATGATAGTGGGATGGAATAAGCTGATGCATTTATCCAAACAAGTTAAAAACCTTATAACTCATGAGTGGCAAAACCGCAAATGAATTTAAGTCATCTTTATTCATGAGTGGATTAAATTGTATATTACTATCCTACCACATTTATTCTGTTTCCCAGACAGACTTCTCTGCATGCTGACTTCTTATTTTTTAATTTTAAAGCTGGGAGATATGATCATGGTCGCTGTCAAGTTTGACCTACCTGGATGATTTTTCTTTACTTAAACATCCCCAACATGTGTGATTTCTTTTCTTAACTAGTTCTTACCTAAAACTCAAAAATCCTGACAGGCTATGGCATTCAGGGCTGGGTGGGGGGGAAGAGCCTACTACCGTTAAAGGGGCTGACTTCTCAACTCCTCAGATAAGGTAAATGATTGCTTATTTTCTATCTAATATAAAATAGGTTCACATAAACTATTGCTAAACCCAGTGGTGCAAATGAACTTTTTTTCAAGGCTGCCTTGTATTCATTGACGCACGTGTTCAGGCCGTCTTAGCAGTTACCCTCAACCTCTGCTGATTGCTGCTCTCCTGGCAGAATTGACAGACACTAGCCTGGTGTGCATTTTGGTTTCTCTGGTTTGTACATGAGACTCTTAATGCAAAGCCGTAAGATCAGCAACATAAGCTACTGCCTTCTGCAAAGCAGAGTAGGTGAGGCATGGCCATGTGCTGGCTTCCGCTGCCCCAGTGTCAGGACAGGACGGGGAATGGCAAGCAGAGCTGGCTGCAGGATGTCACGAATGCTTTGGCAGCTTTCAACCAAGGGCAAGGTCTGAAAAAAGCCATGCAGCAGACCGGGAGGTCCCAGTGAGATCTCAGCCCTTGTCCAAAGGACAAATTGATTCCTCATTCACCAAACAGCTGTTCTGCAAGCAAATATGCGTGATTCCTCCCTTCTGCATGCTAAATAAGTCATTTACTTGCAACGGTAACTGAAAACCTGGGAGCTGGAGGAAGGGGACAATGAAGGATCAGTCATAACAGTGAAATGTAAGAGAATAAAGCAAGAATCATTTAGCTATACCATAATTCTTAAAAATGCTCTTCAAAACAGTTGGCATCCTGAGCTTAGTGTGTTGGGCAGCCATTTTATGGTGGCTGAAGCTGCGTTCACAATGAGTACAGATCTTGCAGATGACAGTTGGGGGTAATCTGATGTAGCTGTAAGATCCTACTGGAAGGTGATAGGAAAAAAACCTTCCTACCTGTTAACATGATTCTGAAAATTTGGGCTTTGAATGTTATGATTAAATAAAAAATGGATATAAACTGGGGAAAGTTAGACACCAGCTCAACATTTCTGAAGTTTCTTATGTATGAAAAGGTCACTTGATACCAAGTTCAGGCTTTGGGTTGGGAAATGGTGTCAGTGAGAAAATCCAGAGGGTGTTCCAATAATCTTGGCTATCTTCAGATACTGCAGGTGCAGCAATGTAAAAAGTAAGTCTGCTGATTTGACCAAATATTTGACTATATAAAGAACAAAGACACAGAGATCCACAGGCTTTGATTGCAAAGAATTGTTGGGAAGAGATTTAGTGTCACTCCCTCAACATGGCTGTAGGACAAATGTTTAATTATTACTCATGCTTCTCCAATCTCCTGTATAGTAACACTGATACTGAGCTACTCAAGTAAGGTTTTACTTTGAAGAATGCCAGAAGCATCACTCCTTTATTTGAACACTGTCATTGCAGGATGGTAATGTGCTGTTTATTTTACAGGGGTGGTTTTGAACCTTTACATGCTTGAGGTTAAGCAGCTCCACAGATTCAAATTTTGAAGCCCATTTCCAAATACACATCTGAGAAACCCTTTTTTAAAAAAATGAAGTTCATACCAGTTCTTGGAACTCCTTGACTACATCTGCCTCCACGACTTTATGATTCATGTCGTAAGAGATGAGACAGAAATTCCCATGAAGGAAAGATAAAATCCAAGTAAAAGAAACTAAAACCCATTTAACATGAAAACCCTTTTTGAAGGATTTATAGAGTAAAAGTAGGAATCAGTTAGAACCAAGCAGTCAGGCTTTGACTAACAGAGGCCAGTAACGGTTCATTACTTCATTCAGTCACCCCAAAGCAGCTTTCAGTCTAACATTTACTGCAAGTTCAGAAGGGAGACTCCTGTCAGTGAAGTGTGAAAGGTTTGTAGGCTGGCCAGCCACTTAAGGTTTGCAGAGTAATACCCCCGTGCAGAAACAAGTTTTGCTGCCTATACTGAAAAATTGTGTCAGAGAGCAGTCAGAGAAGAGCTTTATGGACTTTGCCATTGCAAACTCTCCCCTTGCTGAACATGTGCCCACTAAGAGATGTCAGCTTTTTGCGAAGCCATTGCTGTAAATGAGAATTCGCTGGAAGACCTTCAACGAATAGTTCAAAGTAATGTCTTAAGCTCAATTTTTATTCAGCAAGATTCTATAGCATTTTCATCTAAACAGTGCTTACTTCCTCCCCCAGCCCCCCCCCCAATAATTACAGATGTTTTTTATGTCCTATTCACACAAAAGAAAGTGGAAACATCTGGAGTCTAGACCCTAAGTTTTAAGAAGTCTGGATTCTTACCCCCTACTGATTCAATGTTTCACTCTCACAGCAGGAGAAGCATGCAGACGTGCAAGTGTGCAAATTGATGATGTGTAGACTCATCTGGTTACTGGCAATTGCAAACCTGTGTGCCTCCTGAAGCACATATATAATTTGTTGTGCATACAAGCCTTAAAGACACAGACATTGTTTATAGAATGGAGCATGCTGTAACAGTGAGGTTCCTCACACAGGTGATGTTTTTATCTTTGTCTTACAGAATTAAATTTGAAACAAGATGCTTTTTATCCTGATAAAAATGTTTGTCTGATTCTTATAGAGTCCCATTTGGTAGTTAGTATTTGCACCAAAACTTGGAGTTTGAGCCTTTGATTCTGAGAGAATGGACTTCTGATTCCAAATCCTTTCTCTAGGATTAGATACTGTGCAAGACATGAACAAATATCTGCCAGCCCTGTCTGTCATAAACCATGCTTTGCGTATCCTCTATGTTATATCCCATATGTTTCCTCGTTCTTAAGGTGAGATCCAGGCTTCTGATTCCTGCATCTTCTAAGTCAGTTTGGTTTTGGAAGCATAAACTGAAATACTATATTCCTTTCTTCACTCCCTTTGTAGGCTGCCTGGCTGCTGAAAGCTGTCACCTGCATAGATCTTACCACTCTCTCAGGCGATGATACTCCTTCAAGTGTTCGCAGACTGTGTTTTAAAGCAAAACATCCCATCAGAGAGGATCTGCTGAAAGCCTTGGACATGCATGATAAAGGTATGGTAGTTTTCGTTGTGTGTATTTTGTAGAGAAAATGTCTACATTTCCTCATTATTCAGTTTGCAGAAAGGGGTAAAAATTACTCTTCTTCCTATAATGGAAGCAGTTATGGTAGGGAGCACTGCAGAACTAATTGTCCTGAGAGAACAAACTAGGTTCTATATGGTCTTATTCAAAGCAACTGTCTTAAGTTCTAACTACTAAACATCTATTCCTTTGAATTAATATAAGAATATAGGGAGAAAAAAAATCCATTCTTGGTTTGGCAACCAAAGTGGAGCATGTAAGTTTGATACCTAGTGAGCAAGTTCGATGTGGAAGCTGCAAGCGTGTAACCTCAGTGTATGTCTTTTAATAACTGCACTAAGGTGAAACTAATTGAGTATTCTGTTAATCTGCTGATGTCCTTAGTAAAATGGAGAAGGGGAGAGTGTTCGTACAAGTCCTTTGGATTTCATGCTTAGCTGCTATTTCTGTAACTACTGAGCCTGCCACTTTGCCTGTCAAAAAGATGCATCCCACAGTCCTAAGCATCTTACTTTTCCTTCAGAATACATTATCTGCTTGTTTCAGTAGTTAACTTAGGAGACATCTTCGCAGTCTGGTCTGCTTTAAGGAATTAGTCCTGTAATCAGTGTATGCGGTTGTGTGCATGTCACATACACATACGTACACACACAGGGTTCCCAGAGTTGAAGTCAACAGAGTTGGAGGGGTGGAAGACAGTCCTTAAAGACTAGTGATAAAACTTTCATTGACATTACTCAAGGAGGCTCCATCTCAAGTCCCAGTGTTACACCCAAGGCTGACGACAGTAAAATTTTGGAGCAAATTGAGACTGTCAATATAACTATAAATAAAATCTCTTTATAGCTGAGCAGTGTTTCTGAATTTTTCCAGATGTAATCACTGATGTATCAGTGAATACCATTTGACTTTTGTCCTGTCATATTGATATTATGGTGATCTAACAGAAAGAAAATCCCAGTGACATTTGGGGCATACTTTTACTATTGAAATATTTCAGTTTTACTTGGGCATTGGCCCACTGATTGAACTCATATAATGTAGAACCAAAGGGAAATCAGGCCTCCGGGTTTAAGCCATAGACATAAAATACTAAAGATTAGTCTTACTTTAGAACTTTGATTTATGGACTCTTCAGACAGATGAAGTATTAAATATGAGGCCAATTATCTGAGACTTTGAGAGAATAGGAGTAGGACTACATTAACATAAAGACTGCTCAGTTGCTGCTGGGCTTAGTCTGGCTCAACAAGTAAGGAAAGAGCTTGGCAGTGTGGTTTCTCTTGCAGTAAATTTCTGATTAAGCGTGCCTTAACAGTACGTGTTGGCATTAAACAGTGAATCTGTCGATAAAAATCTTGGCATTTTAACTCCTGCTAATGCAAACTTGCTTCCAGGGTCAGGTGAAGGAACATGAAGGAGGTAACAATATGGAAAATTACCTGAGCTGTTTGAGCAATATAGCAGACATCTCTAGTGCAGGTCCTTAAGATGTGTGTGAGAATGCAGAAGTGGGAGGTGAGAACAATGCACACATGCTCGTAATATGATTGCACTTGAGAAGGTGGAAATTAAATATGAAGAAGTGAACTGTAGCTTTTGCAGGTATTACTGTCGGAGCGGTTTGTGTGTATCCCGCAAGAGTCACCGATGCTGTTAATGCCCTAAAGGCTGCTGGCTGTAACATACCAGTAGCTTCAGGTAAGCTTGATTTGAAAATATCCTATTAAATGTGTTGATGCTGTAACATAGGTAGAAAGATCCAGCAATTTGAACTTGCTTTTGTTTCAGAGTGTAAGGTGGAAAGGTGGCTGGTGGAAGGAAGGGAATGGAGGGGAGAATTTGCTTCTTTTGTTTTCCTTCAAGCTTATCAGGAATGCAAAGTCTGTTTTGCTGGAAGCTCTTCAAAGAGGTCCTTAAGATATATTAGTACTTTCCTCACCCAAATAGAAGAAATTGAGATTGTGTGCAGGACAAAGTAACAGTAGGCACTAAGTAAACAACAGCGATGCAGTATGAACTTTAGAAGTTCCAATACACTTTTTTTTCTTCTTTTTTCCCTACCAATTGTTTAGCTTTCAAGTATAATCCTGTGTCATGGTTTAACCCCAGCTGCCAGCTAAGCACCACACAGCTGCTTGCTCACTTCCCCCTGCCAGCTCTTCTCCACTCGCCACACAAGAGAGACAAGTCCTGAATCTACAATAAGCAAGAAGTAGAATCAAAGAATTATACAGGTTGGAAGGGTGCTCTGGATGTCATCTGTTCCAACCTCTTGCGCAAAGCAAGAGCTAACTTTGAAGTTAGATCTGGTGTTCAATGTGAAGATCCATGTGTGGGGGTTTTTGTTGTTGTTTCATTGTTGTGTAGAGGAAAAAATATGTACTAAATGCATTTATTTGTAGAGATAAAAAGGATCTTGAAAAAGCCATTATTTTTTCCATTTCCAAAGTTACCTTTGGGTTTTTTACTTAAACATCATAAACAATCTGAAGTAGACCTCATCGAAAGTAATTTTTGTTATGTTTTAGCTGTTAAACGTGTTACTAGAATTTAGCTTGAAATACTGCGTAAAATAATGGGAAAGAATTAAAAATGTATGTATTGCTTCATCTGTGAGCTCACTCATTGTTTGTTCAATTCTGCTGGAAGCAATAGATATCATACTTTCTTATGTAGGCTGCTTTGGAAAATATTAAGGCATGTGGAAGAGATGTTTTTGCAAGATGCACTTAGTATCTTGCTGGACTTAGTATCTTGCTTGATTCTTGAGGAAATAGCTAATGCTTCTTGTGGATGAAGAGAGGATAGGATGATATGCCTTTAGATTTTTGAATCATGTTATGGATAAAAAAATAAAACAACTTTTAAACTCTTTGGTGTATTAGAGGTATATGCAATTTTATGGTCAGTTTATAAAACGTTTTCTTTCCTCTACCTGCATCCCCCTTTTTGCTAGTGGCTGCTGGGTTTCCATCTGGACAAACTCCTCTAGAAATCAAACTGGCTGAAATAAAGCTGGCTGTGCAATATGGTGCTAGAGAGATTGACATTGTCATTAGCAGGACTCTGGTGCTGACTGGCCAGTGGGAAGGTAAGTACCTACCCTTTGGCAAGGAACCTAAAAGTCTGTATCTGCATATACAAGCTCTGTCTTTGTCTCTTCCCAAGTCTCCATATTGGTTCTTGAAAAATTCTGTTCCTCCCTTAAAAGTAATTGGTAATCTGGGACACTGAGCTATATAAAAACTATTTAATTTATGAAGAATGGTTGCGTTTTTTAAAAGAATGCTGTTACAAGTGCCGTCAGACTGGGCATGCAGAATTGCTTTGTTTTGAAAATTAGGGGCTATTTCCTTCTATGCCTTCAGAGTATTTTGTTTACAGGATTAAAAAAAAAATAGCAAATGAAATAGAAGTGAATGTCTAATTATTTGAACAGTTTTGTTAAAACCCCCAAGGGACGACTAATGTAGATGATAGCTCGTTAAATGTACATGTTTCAGTTCTTAACAAAAATATGTATTTTAGTTGTTTTCTTTTTCGTGAAAGTTGAGGATACAAATTGACTGTTCGTATTATTATTGATGTTCTTGTGTCTGTAGACTACTACTAATTAGTAAGAACAATAATGCTGAAGATGGTTTTTGCTCTAATTGCCTCCTTAATGTACTGTGAATGGTTTGCCTTAAGTGCTGACAATGTTCCTATAACTAATCTCCATGTGAAGGTAAACACATCATTGTCTTGGAATGAATTTTCCTTTAGTTGTATAATGTAGTGCATAATAGCCTGTTTGCCTGGAAGACTTCATAAAGAATCCCTCGTACCTGAGTTTGGTTAAGGAAATAGAATTATCATGGTAACAGATCATATTTTCTGATTTTGGTCTTCCTTCAATTAGCAGTTAGAACTGAACAAAAAACCCCACATGTTTCTGCATCTGTTTCTTCAGGACTGCTACTCTGGTTTCCACTTCCATACCTTGTTCTCTTTTGTAGTTCTTACCGTCTCCACCTTTGCTCTTGGGTATATGCAGCTTTACAAATATTTGACTTCTTGACATTGTTGCAGACATTTGTTTCTTTCAGAGTGGCTATTTTATATTCAGGTATGGCCTCAGAAATTGCTGTAATGTGGAGACAGGATGATTGAGTGGTTTTAAATAAGACAGAATGTTGGTTCTGTACCAGCTGGCGGCAAGACTATACATACACCTTCCTGCAGTATAACTTTGTTGGCATTTACACTGTTGCCTACAAATCAGCTACTCCCTCCAGGAGCTGTGCTTTGCTGGGAACATGTATTGGTCTTGGATACAAGGTGAGCAGAATCAGTGATCTGTCACTAAGACTAAAAAAAGACCACTGAAGTGGACATGAGCAGCAACTTCCAATTGTGCCTGAAGAAGTCTGTTTTGTAGCAATTTCTGGCATTAACTGTGGTTGCTATGCTTCAGACTTCATGGTGCAAACGACTGTTAAGTGCAAGTTGCATAGAGAGATATCAGAAAGTTAGTGCATGTAAGCAATTGCAAATGCAGGCTTGAGGTTTTATTGCCCAGGATTACATGAAGAGGGACTCAGAGGTGGAATACAAGGCTAGATTCAGAGAGAAAGCTTGTACTGGTGACTGAAATGATCTGGACGTACATTGTTAGGTTTTTCTCTATGGGAAATGAATTGGGTTTTGTGATCACAAATTACAGGAGAGGAATACACAGACATAGCAAAGATGGATGTAGTATAAAGCTGTCACCTTACTAAATAAGTAAATTAGGGATGACTTTTGATTTGGAATGCATATTCTTTGATGCAGAGCTGAAGTCATGACAAGGTTGAAAGCTGTCCTTTTTTTAGCAATGGTTAGTTTATTTATTTTTTTTTTTTTTACTGAGGGCAGAATTGAAATTATTTCCAAATGTTTTCTGAAAGTTGATTCATGAATGCAAATCTGTGTTGGGCACATATTTACATGGTCTTGAAAAAAGCTACCTCAGGAGCAGAATTTACATGCCATGATGCTACAGGGTGAAAAATTATATTTAATCTGCCTATCCAAAAAAAAAAAAATTACTTCAGTAGGTGATCCGAACATTTTGATAAAAATCTAGTATTCTGAATTCCTGCTTAGCTTTCAATAGGTGTATGTTATCTGTATGAACATGCAGGTTTCCATCTCTAGCTAATGATTAGATGTGATACACAACAATGTATAAAGAGTGTTCTAGGAAGCTAGAAGAAGGGATGAAGAAGTCCCTGTATTACATAAGATTGAAAATTCTAGTCCAGTAACTGTGCCTGTGTTGAAGGTGCTTCATCAACTAGAGCTGCCTTGCAGTTATGACAGAACCTCTGCTTATGCTTATAACACTAACATATTTTTATTGTTATTTTCTCATGTTGCCTGTCTTCACAATGTCAGGAGTTATTGACAAAAATATGTATGTGGTAGAGTGCTTTATTTTACCATTCATATATTTTTAGCTTTTCTTCTAGCCTGTGCAATAGTTGGGGTCACCATGATATAATAGTGTTGCTTTGTGATTTGTTTCAAAGGCTTGTTTGGTTATTAAATATTTTAGTGTCTGTCCAATTATGTCAAGTTATTTTAAAGCAGTCCTTAAATATTGTTGGAGCTCTTTATGACACTCAGAATATGTTTTCTAGATCTTTATGAAGTAATTGGTAAGATCTTTTTAAAAGTGTTGAACATGAAAGCAGTTTTATTGGACACTAAATTACACTGGAACATAACATTAAATGGGATATAAGTTAGTGAACTTACATACCTTTTACAACCTATTAGCTTTTAAAGCAATACTACTTTACAACAGTTTACTCAACCATTGTCTTGTATCACTTGACGAAGTATGGATTAAGCTTAAAAATCAAAATTTAGATACTGTCTTTAGGCAAAGAATGTGGATATTGTCTTAAGGAACAGAATGTGGAGCCTGTATATAAAGAATGATGAACACAGGTGAATTTGACAAACAAAAACTGGATTTATTTTTATTTTTTTCCTCTGTAATCAGTGAATATGTTGGAGTTGCTGTACCTTCTGAAGCTGTCTGGGGTGCTGTAATGTTAATTCTGTTTCCATAGCTTTTAGCGAACACCTGGACATACTGCAATGTCACCAGCTTCAGAGGTATTGTTAACCCATCATTTCCTCTTTGTCAGTTGAATTTTCCTACAAAATAAGGGAAGTACACCAGTATATTCCAAGGTGTTTGAACATGACTGCATCCATGAAATACAGTAGGTATAACCTCATTATGAAAGCTGCCTTTCAGTTCTGTTAGTAATTATTCAAATGAGAGCTGAGAAGCTTTGTTCAGGGATTGGGGCCCCCTTTTGTGCTACATACTTTATAAACAGCACAGAGAACATACATTCCCCACTCCAGAGTCTTGGAAAAGACTCCACATGTTGTTCAGAAATACTGTAGCTGGATTTACCATTTTCTAGGTGTGCAAGCTGACGTGGGATCTCAAAGTCTAGTTGCACAATTTCTGTCTTATATTGTCAGCAGTAGCTCAGATTCCTGAAGCCAAGCTCTGTTTTCAGTTTCATGGGAATCACTGGAGCCTGGAGTTGCACATATGTGACTGAGAGTAGAACTGAAAGAGTCGTGTTGTGCTGATAGCCTCGTGCTTGTCATTTTGTTAACAAACCTGCCATTAACATGCAAGACAGAAGGGACTCCAGCTCATTTTCCAGTTTCCCATCATGATTACCTTGATCTTTTGGTCTAACAGAAATTGAAACATCTTCCCTCCTTGTCTCTGTTTCTTACCCTTAACATCAGTCAATGTGACTGACTAGATAAAAACAGCAAATAAGATGCATTTAAAAAAAAAAAAAAAAAAAAGGAAATGTTTTTATCACCACATTTTTGGAGAAGAGCTGTTTCATAAAACTTTAAGCTGTGGGGTTTTCTTTCCCCATAATATTTGCATTTCCTTTGTAGGAGATATGGATTATCCCCTTTATTTTGTAATTCTTAGTACAAATGTATCAGACCAAAGCAAAAGACCATATAGACATCTAGACAGTCTAGGGCAGATTATAGCCAGCAGTAATTGTCAGGCATGTTTGCTTGAGAAATGTTCAGGGGGAGGAACGTTTTATTTGATGTATTTAATAGCTGCTAAAATCAATATAATGTACTGAATAGTTACAATTTTAGGAAAACCACAAAAAGAACACCTTCCGACATTTATATTTTATGACAGTGAAATAAAAACTACAGCTATGAAAGTATCTTTTTTCCTATAAAATCTGATTTTTCTGATTTCTATAAATGCATCCAGTAAAAGCAGATCTAAAGTTCTTATGTCACATCTGTTTTAACATCTAAGTCAGTGGAGCTAGTACAGACTACATCAGTGAGCATCTGGCTCCAAATATATTCTATAAGGGTTTGCTTGCTTTGGGGTTTGTTTCTTTTTTTTTTTTTTTGGTTTTTTTTTTGTTTGTTTGTTTTTTGTTTTCTTTTTTGGTTTTTTTGTTTTCTTTTTTTTGTTTTAGGTTTGTTTTTTTTTTTTGGTGTGTGTTTTTTTGGGGGTGGGGTTTTTTTTTGGTTTTTTTTTTGGTTTGTTTGTTTGTTGGTTTGTTTTGTTTTGTTTTGTTTTTTTTCTGTCCTCCAGCATAAGACTTAGACTTCTTTTAGAATGGATCATGGTACTGTGTTCAAGATGCTACACATTACTGGTCATTTGCTTTGAGAGCTCTCAGTGTTCTTTCCCTTGTTATTAGCTGTTAGGAGCAGAGAGTCTTTTGCAACCTCTTCATGGTGGTCTTAGCTCACAGCAGGGTTTTCTATGACACAGGTTTTTCCCAAAATCTTTGTGCCACTGCTGCTAACCTGAGAAGCTCTGTCCGCTGTGTCAGTTACTGGTGTTCTGCACAGGTCACAGATGTTCCCAGAACTGCGGAGTCCAGCTCTGCTCCTGTTCAGCTTGACAGAGCTGCATAGTTAACTGATGGACTTTCTGGCAGCACAAACTGTCATAGAATCAGCCCAAGACCCCTTGAAAAACAGTACATTTTCAAGTGTGATTAACTTCACCAATACTTAGATGCCAGGAAGTTTCAGGATAATCAAGTTACTTGTGCCTTCATTTAAATCTGACTGGCTACAGCGACTTCTTTTTTATTTTTGAAAGGAATAGGAGTTTTTGCACTTGTTCTGTAGCAAAGCAGTTCCTGCTTGCATCGGGACTGGGGTGCTCTGGTTTATTTTCTCTGTTCCAGAGGTAGTTGCGTTTCTATTTGTGCTTTTACCATAAGGTTAAGAATGTCCTACTGTCTGCAATAATTGGTCTCTGAATAAAGAGCAGTATTTACTACCTACACACCTGCCCCATTAAAGCTTGCTCACTTTTCCACCACCTCAGCTAACCTGATAGACATGGATGATTGAAGATCCTCTGTTGTTCCTGTCTGTGGATTGATCCATGCTGTCAGATAGTGAGACATTTCAAATGAAAGTACCTTCCAACAATAGGGAGAGTGCTGTAGCTGTGGTACTAACTCCAGTGAACAACAGCTGTAAGGATATAATTTCTTTTCATGGAATCCAACCTAAATGTACATTTTGTTGATTTTTGTTTTGACATTTTTGGTGGTGTATCTTAAAGGTAGAGAAAAGTCAAGTCTTTTCTTCTTGTTACTGAAACAAGAAGAACATGAAAGATGCCTTCTCTGGGTTTTGGAAAGAGTCACTCCACAAAAAGAGACTGCATTTGGATCTAACATGAGCAGTGTTATCAAATGCACAAGAAAATAGCACAGGTTCTTTGTAGTCTCGATTTGATGTAGGTTTCTAGAGTATTATCAATTGATCAATAAAACATGTTAGACTGCATGCTAGTACTGATTAATTCACACCTTTGGTACACAGTAAGAACCAAGGTGAAGCCTGGTGTCTGTAAAGGGACTTGCTAAGTGCATTAGCCAGCTGTCTACTAATGTGTGTAGTACCTCTCGGCAGATCACCCCAGCGATCCCAGCCCTGGCTGCCTGGTGTGCTGATGGATGTGGCGCAGTAGGATACAGCAGCACTGCGGGTGGAGGGGAGGTCCAGCACCTGGCAAACCCTACTGTGTGTTTCTAGGTCTCGCTTCAGGACTGAGGGGAAAAGAAAGTTTGTCTTGCTGAAAGACTTTAGTCTTCATAGCCATATCCTAGAATATTTTAGTAAGAAAGATTTGTTCAAAGCTGTGTTTAACCTTCCATAAAAGAACTTTCTGATTATGTGTTTGAAGATTGAGTACAATGTGTGAAAAGGACTCTCTTGCAAAGGATCCTGCTTGCTTATTTTGCTTCCCCCCCCCGCCTTAATTCAAATTCCAGAAATGGTTGCTGTGCACTGCAAGAGCTGCTTTTCTCTCCACACTCGTGAATTTTACCAAAAAGTGGGGGAGGGATTCCCTGTGCTCCTTGTGTTGTGTTAACTGACCAGGTCCACAAGTTGTAGCCTATTTACAGTCAATTATGTCCATTTTATTCCAGTCCTTACTGAGGCAGTGAAAATATACAACTGTTAGAAACTTAAGCATGCCTCTGGGCATGACACTTCATAAATCCTAAAGCAGGAGTTGGGGAGGGGGGAGTTCTGCTCTGGACAATGTCCACGAGCAGCCAGATGCTGGTCTGTCTTCCCTGTCCCTGCTTCTCCCTGTCCACAGCCGGGTTGCATGGCAGCTCACTGAGTGGTGGTGAGCAGATGGGATGTGTGCTGCTTTGTGGCAGGGACACACTGACTGCGTGGAGATGAGAGCTAAGGAGAACCAAAGGTCAGAAGACAGACTGATAGCAAGAAGCCTCCAAGGGCAGTGGGACTCTCTGTGGGGAGGGGAGGCAACTCCAGGGCAAGATTTGCTTTTTGTTTTCCAAGTGGTGTGAAGATAACAGATAATGGTGTGCTTTATCTCCAATCTTAAAGGCTTTATGTAAGTCAGTCCTTCTGTCTTTGTCAGTGCAAGTGACAGTGCTTGTGTGTACAGCAGTGGCTGCGACAAACCTCCTTCCTGAACTTCCTGAACTGGCTTCTCAGCCAAGTGCGGGGTATCAGAAGTGAGGGTCTTTGGAGCTGTAGCTCCACAGATTGCTAGACAAATGTTGTCCTGTTGGCCCTTCTGCAGTGTTTCCTTGACCCTTACTGGGGCCATCTGAGGTCACAACACAGGGTGGTCCGAATCCTTGTTAACCTTGTGGGCAATGCAACTGCTCAAGGTGGTTTGTAAACACAGATCCATGCAGATTTGCTGGTCCTTGAGGTGTGATCCCAGGCCTCAGTCTCTTCACCAGGGATATTAGCAGATCACACTGATTTTTTTCAGGAAGCTTTTATTTTCAAAAAACATAAAGTGGGATTCAGATGCCTAAACACAGACATCAAGCTCCATCATCAGACCTCCTGAGGTGGTCCCACAGTACTAGGTGGAAAGTTAGGAAACTGAATGGAGATATGGATCCTCCAGGAGTGGCAGCTGGAAGCCAAGGAGAATATGTTGTGGCATCTTGCGTGGCAGTAATGTTTGTAATTAGACAACTTGGTCACACCTTTGGTGTCTTTTGGGCTGAGCCCTTTGGCAAATGTGGCTGAAGGGGACTAAGGGTGTGATGACATGATGTGGACAGGAAAACACAGCTGTCCCTGATTACAGATTCAGTGTACTAACATTTATGGCCAAAAAAGCTGTTTTAGAATCAATCTTGACTATCATAGCTTTTTTTATTCCTGATGTATTCATGAGTGTTTGGCATACTGTGCACATTCTTAGTTTTGAGAGAACTGACATTAATAGCTATTAAGTTAAGTCTGAAACTGTGTGGCATTGTTAATTACCTCCAGTCATGTAATTTATTGAACTTACAAAACTTAAGTTCTTGAGTGCTATGACTAATTATAAGATTGGAAATTAATCCAGAAGTGGAAATTACAGCCATACTTGAAAATGTCTCTCAGGCAACTTTGATCATTTTCACACGCTTTTATCACAGGTCTCTATGAGGAGATCCGTCAGTGCCGTGAGGCCTGTGGAGAAGCTCATATGAAAACAATCTTGTCAACGGGTGAACTGGGGTCCCTTGCTAATGTCTACAAAGCCAGTATGATAGCTATGATGGCAGGTACATATATGTTGTTTTCTTTTTAAGCTAAGAATGTCTTTGCTATATTATTTATGAAGCTTAAAAAATTCTAGGTGTGAAAGTTTAGTTTTGCCCATCTATTACTATTATGCAGCGATTGCTGAAGTTGCAAGTGTAGTAATGAAGTGTCTTTTTTTTTTTGGTATAACCTACAAAAACTGCATCAAATGCTAAATAATGCCTAGAACTGCTACAAAACTCGTGGAATGAGTGATATTTGTTGTCAAATGTCTGATCCTTGGTATATTTAATAAGGACACATACACTTGGGGCAGATACATATATTATCCAGGCAACTGTGGTGAGCTACAGCTATGAAACTGTGGTATAGGTAGATAGGTCGTAAGCTGATTTTAAATGGAGGAGGATCTTTTCCATGAAGATTCATGCTGACAGCTCTCGTTTCTGGTTTGCAGTCACTTCTGCTAACCACCCTTATGAGAGAGCGGTTTGGGAAACAAACTGTACTGGAAATGCAGTGAAGGGGAGAATACCACATGCACCACCAGGCACTGGGATGGGCTAGGATGTAACTGGTTTTAACTGGAATGCTCAAAAGCAGTGGTACTCACTACTGACAAATGCTACTTCAAGAGGTGTTCAGTCTTCCTGTGTTTGAAAACTCAGTTACATCTGACCTGATGATTAGGAGTCTGTCTGCCTTTTATTCTGGACCATTCAGCCAAGAAACACATTCCTATGAGCATGATAGAGTTTTTAGGGGCTACATATAATTTGTAGGAATTACTTTTTTGCTGTAGCTGAACCCAGGACAATAGCTATTGCCACTGAATGTAGCAAAGCACCTATGTCGGCCCAGATTTACGGCAGTATATTCTCTCTGCAGCTGTGGGTCTATGCTGGTACAATTTTTCCTAGCCTAACCAGGATTTTAAGGATGTGTTTCAATGCAAAACCGGGAATTGGTTGATAAGGCTATGTTCTTTGAACTCTGTTCTAGACACCTGTTTCTTCTACTGTGCTTGAAACAGGACTTTTCAAGTATATTGATAGAAAGAAGTGTAAAGATATACTAAGAAACACTGGGGTTAGTCTGTCTTCTAAACTTACCCTCATTTTTGTGTTGATTCTTTTTTTCCTACTGTAAGCTCTTCAGACCTGGAATTTTTTCTTATTTTAAAGCAAGAAAATATAATCTAGTGTTTTTTCAGTATTTAAATAAATATTCAACTTGCTACTGACCTCATTGTCTCCTTACGCACCACTATGCTTACCTACTTCAAATGAAAGTGGAAGCATTTCAGGCATTTTACATGCTCAGTTACAATGTCAGTTAGTATCATTAGATACCGTGGATCAGTATTATGCCAGTAAATATTGCTTTTAATTAGAAGAGGTGTAAGAAATGCACATTTGCTGTAATTTAAACTGATGTACTAATCATTATGATCACTTATTATAAACATGGAGTAGTGAAAAACTCAGGTTGTAAAGCATTTTAACATTGTCAGATTTTCTGCTGGTGTAATTTTTTCGAAATACAGCAGATGGCTCTATTGTTAATGATTTTCCTTGCATAGTTACTCATTTTGCAAGATACTTATCCATCTGAATATATGCAGTAATTTCTTTATTTCAGTGTCTCACTTTTTCTTTGTGGGTAGGTATAAAAATAAGAGTTTGTTGGTGCCCTACGTATATATATTGAGGGCCAGATTTTCAGACTAACTTGTCAGAACTGCTGAGAGCCTCAAATTCCAATTGAATTTTGTTTGACTTGTATATTTGTAGCATCTTGAGGAGGAAGTAATTTGGTAGAGGTCTTTTAAATTCTAGCTTTAGTATCTATGTATTTTTTCTTCAACTGGAGCCATGACTTTAAAGAGAGACAGACAAAAAGCAGATGATTTTGTGGGTATGGCATGCCCTGGCAACTTTTATCTGAAGATAAAAAAACAACAACTCAGATAAACTTGATCCTGCATATAAAACCAATTATATTCAGAAGTTAGTTACACAAAATAGTGGATTCAACTGCAAAACTGGCTTTAGAATTTTTTTCTGCCTCTGGCCAATTGTGCCTTCCTTTACATCAAAATTCGCTGCTCCTTCAGCTGTGCTGTTAGAAGTGCTCATCATGCTGCATTGTAAACTGAGTTTTCAAAGCAGTGTAGTTAAAAATTGCTTTAGAAAAGGGTTAATTAGTTTGCTGTTTGCTTTTTGTGATTGGTTGGCAGTGTTTTTTTCTTTAAATGGTCACAGCCATGATAATCTGTTTTACAGCCTTGCTTTTCATGTGATTGCGCCAGTGCAACTGAGGGCATGATGTGCAGTCCTTCAGCTGTTATCACTTCACTATGCATAATGTAAGCCTATCATATAGGGAGCACAAAATCCTTACAGATGTTTATGTTGCCCTTGCTGAGCACGCACACGTTCACCTAGGTCCTGAAGCCCAAAGCCACTAGATGTGTCACAACATGTAGATAAAAATATATGTATTTTCTGTGTGTCTTATTTGTAAGATTCAGAAGGCTGAGAGAGTAACAGAATGCTAGTTTATCAGTAGCTTCATGGTTAAAGAGATTGCCTGGGATGTCTAGGACTTGGTCTCTGACTTGGACTCTCTGACCAATTTTACAGTGTATTTGCTGTTAAGTGTCTTAGTCCCTTCTGATGAAGTTGCTCTGCTTTGCACAAAGCAGTTAACTGAACAGGGAATACAACCCAGATGTCTCCTCTCCCAAATAACTTGCCAAAATTTGTATAGTCTTCCTTGTGCTATCTTGAGGAATTATTGGTATATGGTGGGACTCACAGCATGTTACATTTGGTCTGATTCAGGTAGCAGGTGGGGGTTCAGCCTCTGGACATGAGGCCAGCTGTACAGATCACTGATTTGAAAAGGCATGGTAAAAGGTCAGAAAATGTGCACCTCTGCACTGGCTGTGATTTTAAAACAACACTGAGAGCCGTCCTCAGGCTGGGGTGGTGTCCAATGCACTTATTTTCAAAGCAGATTGCATAGGCTGCTTTTGTAGTCAAATAGCTGCACTCTGAATCACAGCCCTTGCAGGACTCAGCAGAAGCCATTCGCTGCACTCTGGTGAGCGAGGCTGCGCCCAGTGAGATGTGCAGATCCCAGCAGTGCACTGGAGGTGGAAGCCAGTTGTAGAAATGGTGCTTTGCACAACATGTATGTGTACAAAATGTTAATGCTTGTGCCTGCAAGAAAGTGTTGCTTCGCAGCAAGGTGTGGCAATAATTTGCCTCTATGTGAAGCAGTGGCTCTTGGCTACTCCTGTGCCAGAAATTGTATCTCCAAAGTACCGTGACTACTTTTTATTCCTTCTCTGGCACTGTACATAAGGAGAAAGACATCAGAATGGGAGCAGGCACACAGTTCTCTTAAATTGTCTTAACCATACCTTGACTGACATGCGATAAATTCTTCTGGAATATTTAAGAACCTATTTCTGAGTGAAAGAGGCTGACAGCCCTCTAAGGACAGTGACTCACCTGGCAAGAATAATTCTTGCAGTGCTAAGGAGTACATAATGGCAGGTAGGATTGCACATCAGCAGCTCCGTCTCACTGCCAAAGGTGCACGTTCTTTTCAGAAAGCTGATAGAATCTCAGTATCGAATCAGGGAGGTTTTGGTTGTTGGTTTGTAACGTCCACTGACGTTTCTTGAGCTTTTTGAAATCATGATGGTGGTTTTGAATGTATGAGCTTCTGAAGGGAAACTGCATCTGTGACTCTACTCAACAGCTTCCAGACAATGAGCAGAGCAAATTAATGAATGGTTTTTACAGTCTGGTGTGTACTTGTGTGAGCCACATCCATTTCATAGAATCATAGAATAGTTACGGTTGGAAAGGACCTTAAGATCGTCTAGTTCCAACCCCCCTGCCATGAGCAGGGACACCACACACTAAACTATGTCGCCCAAGGCTCTTGTCCAACCTGGCCTTGAACACCGCCAGGGTTGGAGCATTCACAACTTCCTTGGGCAACCCATTCCAGTGCCTCACCACCCTCACTGTAAAGAACTTATTCCTTATATCTAATCTAAACTTCCCCTGTTTCAGTTTGAACCTGTCTGCCACTAGAGTCCCTAACGAAGAGTCCCTCCCCAGCATCCTTGGAGGCCCCCTTCAGGTACGGGAAGGCAGCCTTCTCTTCTCCAGGCTGAACAGCCTCAACTTTCTCAGCCTGTCTTCATAAGGGCGGTGCTGCAGCCCTCTTATCATCCTCGTGGCCCTCCTCTGGACTTGCTCCAGCAGCTCCATGTCCTTTTTATGTTGAGGACACCAGAACTGGACACAATACTCCAAGTGAGGTCTCACGAGAGCAGAGTAGAGGGGCAGGATCACCTCCTTTGACCTGCTGGTCATGCTTCTTTTGATGCAGCCCAGGATATGGTTGGTTTCTGGGCTGCAAGCGCACACTGAAGCCGGCTCATGTCAAGCTTCTCATCAACCACCACCCCCAAGTCCTTCTCCGCAGGGCTGCTCTGAATCTCTTCTCCGCCCAGCGTGTAGCTGTTTCTAGAGGAAACAGTCAAATCTGTATCTTTGTAGCCTCTTGGAATAAAGAGTCCTGAGAAACACAAATGGGAGTGCCTGACACCTCCATACCAGTGGGAACTACTCTGTTTCTTTGTTGTGGTGTCTTTAAAAAAACACAAACAAACAGGTCTTGTACACAGTTCTCTTGTGAGAAGTAGAGCATTTTTTAACTTCCGTTTTCTGACACAAACATCAAAAACCAGGAAGCCAGACAAGGAAGAGAAGTACAATGGACTTGCAGTGGGAAAGGAATGTTTCAGTAAAGATGTGGATGACTTAATTGCATATCACAGTCATATATAAGGTTTTTATTTTGGAAAATCATATTTTAACCATATTACCCAATTACAAAATCTTTATTGTCCTGTGTAACAATTCATATTAATTAGGATATGTAGACTGGGAGAGAGGTAGAGGAAGTGATTATGTAAATGCACTTTGCTTTA